TGAATGAGCAGAGATATTTTTTGGGCCCACTTCACTTTTAAAATCTACATGGTCTGAAGAAAATTTCTTGAAAGTTTCATGCTTGTATCACAATTTGCACTATTTTGACAGCAGAGACCTTATTTCCCGCCCCACTTTTAACTGGACAACCAATGTCCTTTTTATTTAGGTGTCAGATTTACTTTAATGTACATTATTTATTGATTCTTTACTTTTCTCCAGAACTCTTTATGATTGTGACAGTTTTTGATTGTCTATTTAAATAAACTACATGAATCGAAAGTTTCATATACGTGTTTATTTATTATAACTTAACGGACAAAAGCCCAAGAGATGCAATGTCAACTTAAATATTTGTACTTACATAGTTCAGAACGTTTGAAGAAAGATTTTAAAAGTAGTACGTGATTTTCAGTTTGTTCCATATAGTTTTATTTGGGACGGTTTGTCAGAACCTGATTCGAATACCTGGTTTTGTGACAATGTGTTTCTGATTAAACTAAAATCAATGTGTTTTTAGAAGATTCTATTATTACGTTAACCTCATTAGAGATCAAATATCTTTAAAGACATGTATGAATGTAATGCGTAAGTGTAGGAAAGCCATTATCAAAACTGGCACAAACACGAATAAAATTAGATTTGGTTTTAATGAATATATTATATACTATATAACAAAATTAAACTGAAAACTTCAACACCAAAAACATGTTGAAACCGAACGAATCAACATTTATAATGTTATAAGAAAAACTACATGTATCATCAGAACACATATAATCAATATTTTGTGATTTGATACATACTAACATTTCTGAAGGCAGGACAATACTATAGACAAAAGATCTTCAACTATCTATTGAACAATTTTTTTTATGATAAATGTATACATTGAATATTTGATAGTAACAAAATGAGGTGGCATTACCGAAATTGTGTTTCTGTTTTCATATGTATAAGTTTTAGTAATTTTCTTATAGGAAGATTTGTTTTAGAAAAGAATCTACGAAATAAACCAGTGGAAATAAATCTTAGTCAATCTGAATTGATAAAAAAGGACAAAATTGTGCAACAATTAGATTGTCTATATTTTGAGAAAGATGTGTTTAAATTGTCAAATGATCAATTCGAAACACATACTAAAAAGGTTATCATGTTTTACAATCTGCCAGAGTATAAGAACAATTATTTAAAGACGGATCTTTATTATAAAAACTGCGATTTTAGAAATTGTATGTTTACAAAGGATGTCAAATACGTCCATTCTGCAGATGCGCTTATATTTTATATTGGTTTACGAAATAAGAGAATGGGAGATATACCACCTCTAACAGATCAACAAAGAAATCCTAATCAAATTTGGATTTTCACATCAAATGAACCACCAGAACATTATTACAATAGGGACTTTATGTTATCGTCATGGAGAAATACATTTAATTGGTCCATGCTATACAGACTAGATTCAGATATACCAAATCCCTACGGTTGTTTAATGCTCCAAACATCTGAAAATCATCTAAATTATGATGTAATCTACGAATCAAAAGACAAAAATGCTCTTTGGATTGTCAGTCATTGTCAAGTTTCTAGTGAAAGAAGATTATACGTAAATAAAATGATTAGACATGGATTTGACATCGATATATATGGTGGTTGTAGTTCTGATGGCCTAATGAGAAGCCGAAAGGATCTTGAATTAATGATTCCAAGATATAAATTCTTTCTAGCATTTGAAAACTCTTTTTGTATTGATTATATTTCAGAAAAATTCTTTCAAAATTATAATCACAATTGGATAATTCTTGTACGAGGAGGTGCGGACTACAGCAATTTAATACCAAAAGAAACGTTCATTAATACAGCTGACTTTAAAAACGTGTCAAGCCTTGTAAAATACCTTTTTAAAGTATCCAATGATAGAAAAATATATGAGAATTATCTTAGACAAAAAAATCGTTTTATTAGTTTACGATGGCCAGTTAACAGGAATTGTGAAATATGCCGTAGATTAAATAACATAAATAGTTTTAAAAAAACATACGAAAATGTTGGACAATTTCTTAATCAGGGACAATGCAGACGGGCAAAAGATTTGTAATGCATTTCATTATGCACCGTACATAAACTCGCTTATATAATGCATTGTAACACAAAATATAATCACTTGAAGATCAATGGGGAAATAACAAATATTTTAAGAGAAATCTATTCCCGATGACATTTAGGCTTGAAGAATAAGACTATATTCAGAAGTTTGGCGTGAAGAATATAAAGACTTTGGTGAAAGTGTCTAGATGACTCCTGAAGTAGATTTCTATATAAAACATAATTATTTAATAATTATTATTCCAATGCATGTCCTGTTGGAACTGAATGCAGTAGTCATCACTTAAGGCAAAGTCAGATAAAGTGTGCACTCGGTTATAAGATCACTTTTGGTAGGTCCTGATTATCTCCCTTTTATAAAATTATTTGTTGCAGTCATATTTGTTTATACAATAAACTTGGCTATAAGAAACTTCATATAAAGACACTTATCAATTTGAGTTGTTTAAAGCAAACTGTAAAAATCAAACTTATTTCTCACGGTTTTTCATATATTGACACGATTGATTGATAGATGAAAGCACAACGATACCGTTGAAATTATTTATAGTTGTTGTTATTGTGCAATGTATAATTTTCTGAAATACAGTTGCGTTTTTAAGAAGCTATAACTTTGGAGGGAACTAAAACGTTAACTCATTAGTTCAGTGCTTTTTTAAAATTTTGTACACACTTTGTAAATCTAAAGCAAAACAGAATCCCTAACGAAAACCCAAATCAATAAAATTAAACATGTTCCAAAGCCTGTTCATGGATTGTATTAAGAAAACACAAATTGTAATTGAAACCTAATAAGGTTTTTAAGAGCCGTAAATTATATTCGAATATTCGAAATACTACCGAATATTCGAACATTGAAACACAAATACGAATATTCAAAAAAATAGAAATATTTTTTTTGTTATTACTTTCAAATATCAATAACAATCGTAAATTTTACCCTTGACCTTTAACTTGACCATGTATTCATATGTTTGTGTGACACGTGTCAACGATTACCGCCAATTAACTGTGAAAACTTTGGGGTCTATTTGATCAAAAGGACACCCGTTTCACAGTTTGCAATTTACCTGTTTAACAGTGTTTTATGTCTGCAATGGATAACTGATTTATCCGTAAAAATAAATTCATATCAAAATATAATTTCACACTTTTTAATGACAAAACTGCTTTTAACGATTTTTCCCATGTGCTACCTCAATTTTATTTTTGCTGACAATTCCGACAAACTCAGGCTGTTTAGAGAAAAGCAAAGCTGAAATTGATAAATAACGTAAATGTCAAAAGTAATAAAAAGAAGAAATCTTACTTCTATTAATTCAAATTATTATCACCAAATAGCGTCTCTTATTTTTTTGTTTTATTTCTACAGTCTGAAAAATACATTCCTTTCACCTGCAAAACAGCTTTTGATGTCATTTGGGCATATTTAAGTATCCTTCGAGCAATTACTGCCTAATGCTTTATGAAAACTTGAAAAGCAATGACAGTCATCAGCCCGAAGAATAAGTAAACAACCCAGTGTTCATTAGGCAGCATTCCAAGTTTTCCAATTTCTTAGCCGCTTTTTGAATGTTTACTCATCTATCAACACTTGTTTCTTGTCTGTGTCAATCTTCAAATAAGTTTTCTCTCTTTTAAAAAGTTGTATAACTAACAAACCCAAATGATATCCCTCTGAATCAAACACCGTGAAATACACAACTTTTAAAAATGACGGCCACTTACATTTAACAGAGCCAGGTCTAATATAAATACGCAGTAAGTAACAGAAATATAGATGGATGGTTGGAATTTTTTTTCTCCCACTAGAATTGTTTGTTTTTATTATCAAAGCAAGCGATCATTCATATTTTTTTTCAATAAAAATAGAATGATATCCCCGCCATTTAACGTTGATTGTCAAACTTATTTTTTTTCACCCAAGACTTCCTTTTATTTAATGAGAATTCGACTAAATGAGGCTCTCAATGGGGAAAACAGATTTTAATTTTAACGTCAATATTAAGGAAATTTCGTTTTAACTTGTTTCTAAGCCGAAAATAAAAAGAAAATTTGTTTGTTGTGTAAGATGTAATTTTATTGCAACTCGTGAACATTTAAAACTACGCCACTTGTGAGAATACTGTTTTTAAAGCATGTCGAAGAGTTTTCAAAAAACCTTTTTACACTTTTACACTTTTAATTGTCCACCACATTAAAAGATACTATATTAGATGTAAAAAATGAAGAAGAGAACGAACGTTTAAATCCACATCTTTTATTTTCTATTTGTTCACATTTAAGGTTATATCACTATTTAACTATAATCTATAATGTCCAGAAACATAAAAATCAGAGCTTATATTTATACCAAAATTGATATCACCAAAAAGGTATGAAAATCATGATATTGAGTAAACCAAAAGAGTAATGTTCCCGCCTTAACTATATGGAGCGAGATAGTTACATAAGAAACATTTGGAGCAATTTAGAATTAAGGAGCATGTCAATATGAACACAAATAGGAGCATAAATATGTTAAATCAACGAGTATATCATGGAATTCACGACACTCCGAGCGACAAAAAATAATAAAAAATAACAAACTATTCAATACTGAATGCAAATAGCAATTATGTTTTTTACATTTTTTTACATCTAATAAAGTATCTTCAATATTTTAAACCAAAATACTATGATACATGAACTACATTTTATAAATCAAATAATGCACCACACAGCTCTTACAAGAATTACATATTCAAAATAAATGCATCATACAAGCCGATAAGAAAACACATTCTTTGTTAGGCATATACGTTTTTGCAGTCTTAATTTCAAAACAAATCATAAATTTACATATCATGTTTAACAGTTAAATTTTTAAAACATATCTCAACTTGATATTGTCTGAAATTTCATGTGACACTACCTGTGCTCAAATTATGTACCTTCTTTTGCATCAAATGTTTCAGTTTATTTTTTCATCTGATAACGATAATAATCGTCTTCAAAGCGTACCGTAGAGAATAGTGGTTCTTCCCTCGATATGTTTTGTAACGTATGCCTGTTCGTGTCCATACCTCTACTTCCGTACGAAGTGTACGTCTCTCTAATTCTTGTTCCTCATCAGATATTTCTATGGGTTCTGAATCATAGTTGATTTTTTCATAACACACTCCATTATAACTTAATCCACTAGTATCATGCTCAACACTTTCAAAATTTCCGTCTGTAGATGAATTCTCACTTTTAGCACTTTCACTGATTACACATCCGGGTATACTGCGTATTTACTTTACTATCATCAGTTAACATTTCCTTTTCACTTAAACTTTCATCATTTTTTGCTGTTTCAATTTCTGCTTCTTCATTAAACTCATTACTTACATCTTCACTTTGAACACTTATATTTTCTTCCATGATCATTTTTTCCTTTTTGTCACGAATACTTTCTTTAGTATTGATACTTTCTTCCTCTTCTTTAGCAGATACACTAATTTGACTTTTTAGAAGATACACTAATTTGACTTTTTTTCTAATTCACCACATGTGTCACTTTTTTCCCAATGAACTTGTTTCCCTCATCAGTGGTTTGTCCATCATCTTTTTTCCCTGAGAAAGCTTTTGTTTTTCAAATGTGTATTTCACTTTCATTTTGACACATTACTTTTTCAGATAATTCACTTTCATCTACACACGAAAATCTATCATTGTCAATTATATCCTGAACATCTGTGTCAAAATCTACAACTGCATTTTTGTTTTCGTTTCTGGTCTTGCTTAATTACAGTTCATCTATTTTGATATATTGTAGCGGTTCTAGCTCAACATCCTTTATATCATCGATGTAATCATTTACTTGATGACTACTTTTTTCTATTCTGAAATATCGGCACTACTGACATCTTCTAAGTCGCTATAAGTGGCAGTACAAGTCGTAACTCTAGATATACTTGAAGGTTGAAATGAATCAGGTAGCTTACCGCTGCTTACATCTTCAACACTACTATAAGGAATGGTATGTTCCGCATCATTATGCTTTTTAGACATGAATACGAAATTTTCAGATTCACTAGAGTGACAAGGCATTTGTACTCCACTAGATAAATCCGGTCTTGTCACATTTTTTGGCATCGGTGTACTGTACGATAATTCCTTTGCTTCATGTGCAACTCCATGTAGTTTTATTAAATGTTTTCCAAGATAGTCCCTTCTAATAGTATTCCCGTTGCATCCAAGTTTCGAACATTAAAACTATTGTAGTGCAACGACGTGTTTCTCTTTATATGTCTGATCAAGTTTCGTTTCAACGTATACTTTTTTGTGCAAGTATCATACTCGTACATTTTTTAACATACGAAATGATATCCCACAACTATAAATGAGCGATAAATATCTTTGTCACAAAATTCTTGCTTAGCACGTGCATTTCATGGACAGAGTTTCTTCTACATTATTGCTCTAACTTTCGCGCCAACGCATGTTTACTTTACACTATTTGCTCGGATTTTCACGCCAAAAATGTACCTACCGTAAACGTGTAACTCATGGAAAGGGTTTCTTCTACAGTATTGCTCCAACTTTCGCGCCAAAAAAAATCAAACAATGAAAAAGGCGTTTACATATTAGGTTGTTGTAGTTTTGCAGTAATTCCAACTCAAAAATATAATTAGACACATAAAAAGACATTAAATTCTTATGATATACACATATCTATCACACCTAGTACTCTACTGTACATCATATATTAAGTATTAACTCCAACACAAGCGGTTCTATACTAGTAACATATCGTTTAAACAGTCCTTAATACGCTGTTTTGCAACATTTGCAGCCTTTTGCACCTTTTTTTCGGTGACATATGATCATGTTGGTCCTTCACATGACCAGATTCTGCGGGATTAATCACTTTCGCTGTTTTGATGGGATACAGTAGACATAATGGTCTACCTTAAACTTTTCCAGATGCTGTCTGAACCTTTGCAGATCAAGTAACTCCATCTGCACTATTGATAAGCTCACTTGTCTTACCTAACCTCCAACTTCCTCTCGGAATATTGTCTTTGATTAAAACTATGTCACCAACACAAGCAGTATATTTTGTTTTGTACTTCCCTTGTTTCAGTAATGTTTGTGTTCTTTCCCGAAGACTGGACAAATATTCATCACGCATATTTTCCAGAAAGTAACAAGTAATTTTTGCCCCTTTTTCCAGATTTGAAGCAATTTGTCAGCAGAACTATCACATACTTTAAAATCTGGGTCACTTTGAGATAGCTCACATTCGGAAATTCCAGTTTTAGGATTGAGGCATGTGAGTGCGCGGGTGTAATTGTAAGGTTAGAATTTATATCGTCTCCGACGTAAACCAACGGGCGGAAATTCACAACTGCTTCCGTTTCTTTCAGTATTGTTTGGAGTTGATCTGTATCATCAACATTTTACCAATTGCCTTTCGAAGTGAGCGTTTGGTTAAACCAACTAATCTCTCATAGAACCCGCCCATCCATGGGGCTCTTTCAGTGATGAATCGCCATTTTATGCCTGTATTAGAACTGTAAGTAAAAATATCCTCACTCTGCACAATATCACTCCAAACAATTTCTGTTGTTTGGCTGGCTAATTTGAAGTGCAAAGCATTATCTCTAATAACTTCAGACGGAAATCCTCTGCAAGCAATGAATCGTCGTAAACAATTCAAGAATGAGATAGTTTACATGTTTGGCATCATTTCGAGATGTACATACATGTGAATAACATACACATACTTTATCGATCGTTTTATTTTCTTTGATTTAAAGTAGGCCTTAGTA